CCCCAAATCAGCACCCAGATGTGAGCCAGATGTGCCACTGCTGCATGACTGAGAGCCACCACTGCCCTGCCTGCCACCCACCACGCAGTTACCTGAAAGAGATGGTTCGCGGAGAGATTTCTGCTTCAGGTAATCTGTGAATTGTCTTCTGAGCTGTTTGTACAACAGGCAGCATCGTGGTAAATGATGGTGATTTAGTAAGTGAAAAATGAGTGTTTGGCATACCTTCCTCTGGGCAGGCAGTGGCAAAGGCAGCTGTACGTCAGCACGCCACTGCTGAGCTGTGCTTCATGGGGAGGCAGGAGATTTAGTGCTCAGATTCAGTTTGTCACATGCTTCATTCTTGCCTTGACACCTAGCCTAATTGCATGTCTACAAAGGATAACTGGCCATACCCCTCTATTACCATGATATTAGGGCTGCCAACAAATTCCAGATATAATAGTGCTGATTCAAGACCAGGAAGGGTAAGCGGCGAAGTATGACACACCTGAATTTCAACAGTGTTTTCATATCTGAGGTCTGCTGGTTGAGGAAGCAGGACTATACACTGGTTTGTTGCAGGAAGGAGTCTCCCATGGCAAGCCCATAGCTCACCAAAGCATGGAGGCTGCATGGCATCGTCTAGGATTCAGCAAGAACCTTAATCAGAATAAAGGCGCCTGGGCTCCCCCTCTGGCACAGCCTGCTGCGCTGTGCTGCTCCCACCCCAACGTCCCTCCCTACTGCCGGGCTGCAGCCATGGTGGCTCCACGCTCCCCGCAGCACTGATGGAGAGGGGAAGGCTGGCTCCTGTGCTTGTGCAGGGGCAGAGAGTAATCAAAATGTGCAACCAGTGCCAGGGGCAGAGAGCTGCCAGTCAGGGAGGCGACAGTCACCATGCCACGCTGCAGCATACGTGTGTCCTTTGCTCCCAGGAAGACAATTCACACCCAACCTATGGTGCCCTGTCCCATCCCTCCCACTGCCGTCACACAAAGGAGCTCTGCGGCTAGCCTGAAAAGCTGGACACATCTGTTGAAGGTACATCGCCTTGGACACGCCTTTTTCTTGTGTGTCCACTTCTTGGGGCTCACCGCTAACCCAGCTCCATGGTAGCACATCCCAAGTGACAGTACATGCACAGTAATACTACAGCCACACGTCTGTGCTCGTCTCCTTCACCTCACAGCCTTACTGACATAGCATGAAGGCTATCTTGTAGCAAAAAAAGCAGCAAATACTCCCGTGATCCCCAACGTGCTAACATCCAGCAAAAATTAACACATTCAATTCTTCAGGCAGAAGGGCGAGCTGTCTCTTCGCATGGTGCCATGCGCCTGGCTGCAAATCCCGGGTGCCCCAGCCTCACCTGCAACTCCAGGGCTTGCCATCCTCCAAGCTCACAGCACAAGAAAGTCAGGCAGCCCACATCTACCTCAAGTAAAATTAGCTTATTTGTTGTTCTTAATACACTAGGAAGGCTTCCACAAGATGTCAGCCTAACTAAATGACAACGCTAGCCTCAGGGTGCAATTCTACTTTTCCAGTGCATGCGTTTAGCAGGAAAACCAGTTCTGCTGCTGCTCAAGGAGTGGGGTAAGTGAGAAGCCCCCGAGAGGGTTATTTGGTCCTAGCAAGCTTATTCCTGAGGCAGACATGCCATTGTCCCTCTCCGTGTTGCGTGTGACAATTCGGGCCGTTACTTCAAAGCACCCTTTCTGGCAGAAGTCCCCAGATGGCACTCGTACGTGATTTTCCTCAGCATGCAAGCGAGCTTTCAGTCTTGGGAGAAACGCAACCACGTGAGTTTTACGGGCAGCTGGGGTTTATTCCCAGCCTATTACACCTCAACACCCCAGACAGCTCCCAAGGAACAACGTGACTATTACCGCAGAGTTCCAGACTTAAGAGAATCAGATGTACGCTTTTGGTAATATCTGTTTTTTCACGACAAGTGCACATAAAAAAACATGTTTCCCTAAGAAAAGCACCCATAAAGTTCACATTAACAGTTTCCCAAACAGGAAACTCTCTGGCAAGGTGCTAAATAGCCCTTGTTTGGTTACAGGCCAAAGAATGGAGAGCTTTAGAAAGGAAGCAACTTACCATGTTTGAACATTAACTCTTAACTCTGTGCCAAATTACACAATCTTAATGTGGGAGGAACCTACCAACAGATACTGATGCAGAAAAGCAAAACGCTTCCAAAAGATACCTAAATTCAGCCTCCTGCTAATAGAGAAAAAGAGGTAGCACAGGAGAGGAGTAACGTTTGACCTTATAGCTGTTGTCATTTCATTAATTACACCCTTTGGAATGTTATTTTTAAGTGTTATGCTATTGTATTTAAATGTTATTAAAATTCAAATCAACGCTTCAAATCAGGATTTTGCACTGGATGAGCTGCTATGGGAAGCGCAACCACAGGTACTTTGCTGCAGTAGTTCAGACAGCTGGCAACTGACAGCTAAGGCTGGATTTCAGCTTCTGTACTTTTCATACAGAGAACATAGAATGTGAAAAAACTTTTTAAATAGGTTTATGTATTTTTTTGCATGTATTTCACTCTAGAGCAAACGTGAAAGTATTTACTATGGCATAGCAATTGAAGAAATTTATCTAGCATTTCCTGATTTGCTTTATCATTAAAGATAATTACTTTCCTGATGGGGGGGAGGGGGGTTGCTTTGTTTTTTGGGTGGGTTTGAGGTTTTCTTTTTGTTTGTGTATTTTTAAAGAGTTCACCTTCTCCATCCCTTTACTTCCCACTGAGCACTTCCCTGCAGTCTGCTCAGGACAGCCCAGCCCACCACAAGAAGGACGTACCGCAGTCAGTATTACAATTACGCCACGGGACAGCGAAGGGAGAAGCAGGCAGAAAACAGCAAGTCTTAGTTTAAATAAGTACCTCTAAGGAACCAAAGCTTAATAAAAAGGGTAAACAGCTGTTTTATTTCAAAATCTTCTTTTGACACAATTCATCATCTTCCTCCATCAGCACAGGAAGTTTGTTATTCTCAGCTCATCCTATATCTCGAGGTTGTAAGTGATACCTCGCCGCTACAGAGCAAACATTTTCAAGTGTCTTCTACTACACTGTTGCTTTCTATTTCAAGGTAAAAATAAAAAAGCTTATCCAAGTTGCTTGGAGCAGGAAGCTAACGCCCCCCTGCCTCATCCACATCGAGTCAAGGCCAGAGCAGCTCCTCCGAAGGCTTTCCTGCACATGCATGCAAAAATCCTAAAAACAAATTTAAATCAAGTCTGTTCATTTACCTTTCAGTACCAGCTCTCCCAGAGGAGAGTTTGCTCCAGATAAAAGGGCAATGAACTTTTAAAGCAAGCAGCCATGACAGCACATTTGCCTCCTCCACGCTGTACGTGCACACTCCGGCCAGAGACAGGCTCAGCTGTAACAGTGCGGACAGCTTTGCAGGGTCACCATTTCTGCAAATGCAAATTTCTGCAACTCTAAAACATGCGGGATAACTGTTATGGACCTACCCCGCAGTGAGATGCGAACGGAAGTAACGCTCCCCCTTTCACGGGGGCCATATAACACTAGAATGTAATCGGTTACCACAAGGAAGCCCTCAAACTGCTCTGACGATAGATGTCAGCCTCACGACTTCTCCTGCGCTCCAGTCCCCAGGAAAAAGCAAGTACAAAAGCCACTGTTCGGGGGGAAAAAAAAAAAATAGATTTTCTAGTTTCATAACTGCATGCTGTCAAGCTGGATTCCAATGAAATTCTTCCTGTGCCCTAACGCAAGCTTTGCTTTTTCCAGAAATTTCTCATTGCTTGAAGTGTTTGCTCCTGTCCTTTTCTCCCGGGCTATGCGCTGTACTTTTTGACACACCACCTTCATCTAAATGACTGTTCTCTCCCTTTACCGCTTTTGCAGGGACCACAGTCACACAGTTATTACACGGAGCTTTAAGCTGCTAAATCCCTCTCACCTCCGCGAAAAGCTGGTGCTAACCAGCATCCTCTGTTCAAACTGTGCATACTTTGCATCTAAAAGTTCCTTTTATGCAGCGATATTTAACAGAAAACTGGCAGCAGCTAGCACTGAGGCACTTCCAGCCGCAGCTCTGCGCTGCTTTTAATGCCAGCTGAATACAGCCAGTACAGATGTAGGAGGGGGAGCGGGGTGGTGCAAGTCTTTCCTATTCCTTCTATCGTGGGGACGAAGGACTCCTACCGTTGATTTTTTTCCCCCCTCTATCAGTGGTCTTTAACACGATCACAGTATGCACCACACTGCTTTAAAACAGCAAAGCTTCTGGAAAACCCAAACAAAAGGAACGTCACCAGGTGACGTCAGCCTATATACAGCCCTGTGTGGTCGCAGCGCATAAGCAAATCCATTCTTGTACCGCTTCCCTGAAAAGCTTTTCAGTAAATGCACTCATGCTACTACAGGAGCTTCTCTCAGCAATAAGCCACCCATCTGCCATCAACAAGTTAGGACTAAAGGAAGCCACAGCTGCGGAAAAAGAAAACGTGAGCTTCAATTAAACAGCTGAGCAGCCACAGAGGATGAAAACTTGTATTAAGCATTGATTTAAAAATTGCAGACCTGTCAGAGGAGATCAAGCCAGTGATTTCAAAAGGAATATTCCAAGAGAGCATCGTGGATTCAGTTTTGCACTAATATCAAAGGACACTAAACCCAGTAAATTATTCAAAGGCTACTTTACATTAGAGCCTTTTACAGACTCACCGCGTTGAGTCTAAAACTACGACTGAATGCAACCTCCAATGTACTCAAAAGAATGGGTAAGTTCCTGCGTTTCTATATACCTTGTGTAATGAATGACCGGCTATGCTTTAAAGGAGCAGTTAGGTGCTAAAGCAAATTTTTCTGCACTGAACCTTATGAAAAAAAATGTTTTCCAATTGTGACACTGTAATCCTCCGTAATAGAGATAAAGACTCATCCTAAGTGTAATATCCGAGTATTCTGTGTTTCGTAGTAAGTTTTTTCTTGCATTTAGAATTAGCTTGTCGGAAATGCATGGCAATGTTATCTGCAGTGAAATCTTCCATCGTGATGTTCAAAGTATACTGATAAGGCTATCCTATCTTGTTGTTTTCCTAAATTATATTCTGCAGGCTTACATTTCAAGTGGCCATTAGGGGCTCGTATGCTGGCAGCACTATATGCAATGAGTATGGTTTTAAAAATGCTGCCTGCCTTGGGCATGGCTTGTCCACCAAAATGTCGCTGTGAGAAGCTGCTCTTTTACTGTGACTCTCAGGGGTTTCACTCAGTGCCAAACACCACTGAAAAGGGCTCGCTAGGTTTGTCACTGAGGCACAATTATATTTCTGAACTTGAAAGGGATCAATTTGCAAGCTTCAGTCAACTTACTTGGCTTCACTTAGATCATAATCAAATTGCAACAGTCAGAGAAGATTCTTTTCAAGGACTGTATAAACTTAAGGAATTAGTCTTAAGTTCCAACAAAATCTTTCATTTGCCAAACACAACTTTTAGCCAGCTGCTTAACCTGCAGAATTTGGACCTCTCTTTTAATCAGTTATCCTCTCTGCACCCCGAGCTCTTCTACGGCCTTCGCAAGCTACAGACCTTGCACTTGCGTTCCAACTCCCTGCGGACCATCCCGGTCCGCCTGTTCTGGGACTGTCGTAGCCTGGAGTTCCTGGATTTGAGCACAAACCGCTTGCGAAGTTTGGCTCGCAATGGATTTGCGGGATTAATCAAGCTGAGAGAGCTTCACCTAGAGCACAACCAGCTGACAAAGATTAATTTTGCTCACTTCCTCCGGCTGAGCAGCCTGCACACTCTCTTCTTGCAGTGGAACAAAATTAGCAACTTGACATGTGGGATGGAGTGGACCTGGGGCACCTTAGAAAAGCTCGATTTGACTGGAAACGAAATCAAAGCCATCGACCTAACCGTCTTTGAAACTATGCCTAACCTTAAAACCCTCCTAATGGATAACAACAAGCTCACCACTCTGGATTCCAAGATCCTAAGTTCACTGACATCCCTCACCACCGTGGGCCTCTCCGGCAATCTGTGGGAATGCAGCCCAAAGATCTGCGCCTTGGCCACATGGTTGAGTGGCTTCCAAGGTCGGTGGGAGCACTCCATCCTCTGCCACAGCCCCGACCACACCCAGGGAGAGGATATTCTGGATGCAGTCTATGGTTTTCAGCTTTGCTGGAATTTATCAACTGTTGTTACGCCCGTGGCTACGACTTATGCAGTTCCGACTACCGAGTACACGAAAAGAATAAGCTCTTCTCATTTCCATATGGGAGACAAAGAGATTCCAACTACAGCAGGCATGGTCGTTACCACCGAAGAACATTTCCCCGAGCCAAACAATGCCATCTTCACTCAGAGGGTAATTACAGGAACAATGGCTTTATTGTTTTCTTTCTTTTTTATCATTTTTATAGTGTTCATCTCCAGGAAGTGCTGCCCTCCCACATTAAGAAGAATTAGGCAGTGCTCAATGATTCAAAACCACAGGCAGCTCCGATCCCAAACACGGCTGCATATGGCAAACATGTCAGACCAAGGACCCTATAATGAATACGAACCCACCCACGAAGGACCCTTCATCATCATCAACGGCTATGGACAGTGCAAGTGTCAGCAGCTGCCATATAAAGAATGTGAAGTATAATACCTACATGCCATCAAAAATTAAATCAGATAAGTAACCTATTTTAAAATTGTAGGGGACCTACATCAGATTCTAATTTTTACAAATGTTGACATAAAGCCTAATTTTCCAAGCTACTTAATGGAAACATTGTTTATGGAGTGGTGCAGTATTTTTAAGTTTTTTAAAAAATAAATCCATAATATTTTCAGTGTTAAAGAAGCAATGATTACATTAAACTTGCACTCCTAATGTTTAAAAGTCTAAAAAGATGCTCACCTCAAACTATGTAAAGTGTTTCATGTTATGTAATTATATGACTGTGTGTAAACATTTCTACCCAAGTCTCCATATTCTACTTTTTCTAATGAAAACACTCTGAGGGGAAGGATACTGGATATCTGTACAGAGATCTGCAGGGGGACATACGCTCCGTTTGTTCCACTGCAGCTGTAGGATCCCAAACACTCCAGCTGGCTCCATTCACTTTAAAGGCAGCCGTGGAGGAAAATTTTCCTCCTCTGATAATTTCACTCCAGTAAAAGAGGGGAGGGGAAACAAAAAAAGAGCAACGAAGGTCCAGGTGGGGATTTAAGTGCATCGGGGACCGGTGAATTTATTTTAAATACAGTTTTCCTATCTGCATTCATAGTTGGGCTTGCTTAAACAGTCCTCGCTAAAGCTCACAACGGATACAGAAAGGAGCAGTTCACACGGTCACAAATTAGCAGGACGATCACAAATTAGCAGGACGACTCTCCAGGCGCTTACAAAGTAGGCAGCGTAGCTCATTTAGGAAGGCTCAGTACGACAGGATCAATTCTAAATATTAAGTGCATTCAATTCTTATCAGCTCTCTGGTTTGACTTGATGATGCTTTTCATGAATTCAGGCTAATTACTTAAGACTATGAATAAATGGCATTTCAACACCTTTTCATGTGTAAATACCCTTAATGCGAGTTTTTCTTAATTAAAAGTAAACATCAACCGCGAGGTTAAGAAGAGGGAAGGAAGGAAGAAGCCTCTCTTTGTCCCCCCGCTGCCCCCCCAGCTGAGGCTTCCTCTTGCCTGGAAGCTATTTTCATGCACTAACTCCACTGGTTTCTCTGGAGACAGAATTAGCCCCTGTAATATAAGCTCTCACTTATCCACCTCTTCCAAAATTCAAGGTAATTACCAGTTTAAAAAAAAAACCTGTATCTTCTGATAAGTTAGGAAAATAATTAGTTTATAGAATAGTTCACTGAAAAATGTTTTGTTTCTTACTCGATATGGGACAGAATCTAAACTAGTATGCCATTTAAAAAAATCATATATAAATATATATATACACACACGCGCACCTCATTCTTAAGGAGTAATTTGATTTCTTTAGCCAGAAGTACCATATTGCTATTTATACTATATTATGAAATTATATGTAAATATTTGCAGATCTATGCAGCGACAGTGGTACTCAGATGCCACGGGGGCGGGGGGCGGGGGGGTCTGCAAAGGATTACATTATTTTTAAGTCAACTGCTCAAATATTGTAAATGTTCTAACCAAAGCTAAAAGGACCAGAGGGATAGAATTTTTTTTTTTTTATATATACACACACATATGTGTAACTAAAAAAAAAAGTGTTGTGTCCAATGCTGCAATGTTAAACAATTACCAGCACACACGGATGAAGAAAAGAAATTCCTCACAGTGTTGACATACCTTGAACAAATCGGTAATTACAGTATGCTAATTGTGTTGTACTAAACTATTCCGCAAACTTTTTAAACAGAAAAATCACTGCATAAAAATCTGTTTGCTATTTCACTCTGCTTTTATATATCTGTATTACCACTTAGTGAGGTATTTAGGGTGCAATTATACAAGTTTGATGTTTTATTGTGAAATGAATTCGTCCAAGGCAAGTGTGACTTCTGTTAAGATTTTACATAAAGATTTTTCAATTACTGGTTTTGAAGATATTAATTTTCATCATTTTACTTTTACATACAGTGCCCTTATTATAATACAAGTATTTTGTTTACTTCCTGTGACTCTGTACTTTAATGGAAGAGATTCAGTGAAGCCTAATAGTTTTCCATAGAGATAACTCTGAACCCTCCTAACTGTTTATACTACGATGAGCCGATTTACACCTATTCTAGGAAATCAATTACTGCTTTTAACTGAATACAATAAATCCTGCAGGGCAGGTGGACAAAGAGCAAATATTCTGTATGATTAAGTCCCACGTAAGACAGAAGGCCAGACCTAAGCTGATAAGTACAAAAATGTACTGGCATCTAAGGGTATTTAGCTGCTTGTAGAAAGACTTGCTTCATTCCTTATCACAAGTAAGTGCTCACAGCTCTTCCCTTATGTCCAGGCTTTTGCTCTCCTCCGGGCAGGCGAGCGTGCATCACTATCTCAGCAGCAACCTGCCCCTGCCTGTGCACCTCCCTTACCTTGTGTTAACTAACACAACGGTCTGCACCGGGTGGAACTGGAAAGCAGACGCTTTTGGGAATGATTTTCAGGTACAGCTGTGGGGTACCAGCAGAGACAAAGTTATAACTGACCTCATTAATTATACTGGCAGCCAATAATCTTGCTACACTATCATCAACCATCAGATGTCAATACTGAACTCTGGTGTCCTCAGCTGCATTTGCAAGAAGGAATTCCACCTTTCTCCTCCATGCCCAGCAGAAACCCTTGCTGCAAGACAGTTCAAAAGGTACCACGTCACTCTTCTGCACAGTAACGAGAAGTGGCCGCCTGACTGAAGCGCTGAGGTTCCTCCCGAGGAGGTGCTTTCCCAATACCCCAGCTCTGCGCAGAAGCCCACTCCATCTTTATTAGCTTATAATTATGCCCAAGAAGAGTAAAGACAGATGTTCCAGCAATGCTGGATTTAATCCTCTTCTCCACCCCAGCCACTCATACCAATTTTCCAAGCATTAAAGCACTGTTCCAGTGTCTCTCAAAGCAAACACACCCAGGCGCCCAGCTTCTCTCCCCCACCAGTATCCCCAGTTTCCACTGGTCCTGCAGGGCTGCCTTGGTTTGCAGACCACGAAGCAGGAGGCCAGCAGACACAGCCTACCACGGCACTGCTCAATTTTACTTTGATGCTCTGTACTACACACTAATACACAGCCAATCTCCCAAATGCCGTGCTTTATGCCTGCCATTTCCAAAACCATTTGTTGCCAGGTTCCAGGCGTAGGCAAAGCAATTCCGCAAACATTACATTTAGGGTAACGGGTATCATAAAACTCACAGAATGTCAGACATTAACAGTGAAGTCAACTTGAATTCCCTTAGGAGGGACAGCTAACAGCAGGCAAAGCCATCGCTCTACACAAGGACACGACCAGAGGCTGTCAATTTTTGTTTTATTTATTTATTTTTTAAGAAGTTACTGTCTCCCATTCTCAATCGCTTGTGACTCTTCTAGGCGAGGAGGGCATTGTAATAATTGCATCACTCAGCAGTCTCTGATTTATTTTGTTTACGGAACAAGAACCATGATGATTTGGTTTAAATTCATCATAGTTCAGTATGAGCACTGGCTGATGCCAAGAGGTTGTTAACTTGGTCTCTCCAAATATCATCTCTGTTGCACAGCCTCAGTTTCTGCAGATACTAAATGGTATTATAGGTGCTTCACCACCTCTGGGCACAGCCTCATGCAAGTGTTCAGGGCTTCTTAAAAATGAAAATTTTTTCTACTGCTCTCGAGATCCTCATCCCATCCAAAGATATCCTCCAGCCGCACTGATCTCCAGCCAGCTTTTCCTCCTCCCCACCCTTGCATCAGTGAAATGCAAACCTCGCAGCACAAGTTCAATTTTTGAGTCATCATACTGGAACAGGTCTGAATTAATGCTTTCAGTTCCCCTCTCGTTAGTCGCTCTGCATTAGATCATCGTTTAAATGCACACAACTAAAAATTACTCAATAAAGAGTAAAATGGGTTAGCGTTTAGTCTCCGGCTGAAGTGTTCCTCTGCACAGAGCTCCCATTTTCTATCAGATGGAAACATAATTAATGCTGCTGTATCAATGTTTGTTTTTGTTTGCTTTTCCCCCAAGCAGAAATTATCTGATTTTTCAGCGATAAGCCTAGCCTGCATGCAAATCTAAGCATCTGAGCTTATGTCCCATTACCTCCCTTCGAAGACAGTGGCCTATTGCTAACATGTAAAATCAGAAGTATCCAGTGGCTTTAAACCAGAAATCTGCACTTCACACTTATTTTTAATGTGTCTAAGTTAATTTCTGTACTACTTTAATGAAAATAAAGCTGATTTAATTTTGTGATCTGCGTAGCTATCAAAATCCATCTGTTCAGACCTATGAAATCCACCCAGAAGCTGAATTTCATCTTTCTTATGACGTTTTCCATAGAAAATAAAACTTCAGAGGGGGATACAGTATTTCTCCTCCCCCCCAAAAAGGAACAAGCAAGGAAACAAGAAAAATCAAAGGCAGTTGCACAGCAGCAGCTCCTCCCTCCCCCCACCTTTCTCCATTGCAAAGAGTCCTGTACACTAGAACTGGTGCCAGGCTTCGCTTTTTAAGCCATCACACTAGCAGGATGCTTAAAGATCATTTCAGGGTCATCTGGAAATTCAGCATTTCACATCTTGTATAAAAACCTTTTGAGAGGTATCTAGGGAAAGGTAACAGAAGCTTTGATGGATATCATCAAGCCTCAGACAGGGCAAAACTTGCGCTAAGGGCAAAACACCATGCAGCTTGTGCACCTCTGGTGTAAGCAGTGAAAAGCTGCACCTGCTATCCTTCAGCCACTCCTTTGTAAACAAACAAACAAAACCCACCCCATTTTTCTTTTTACCATCATGAAAACATTAGTGAGTGAACTATTCTACCAGCTTAGCAACCAGCGATCAAAAAGAAGGAGTCTTAGATGCACTGTATTTAAATTGTGTTTAAAGAGCCACTTTCTGGTGGGAGGGGGTGTAAGTAATGGAGTGAAACAAAGTGCAGTGTACAGAAAAATTTTGTTATT